TTAGTTAATGTATTAAAGAAAAAGACGACGGAAGAGAGACGTATGCCAGAAACGCGTATCGGTGTATAACGTATTCCTGAATAAAGAGTGATGTTAAAGATGCCCAGTGTCTAACTATGCACCCAGTTGTGAAATAAAGAATAAGTATTATTTAAGTTAGTCTTGTTTCTTATTAATATTACTTCTTAGCAAAATAAATTATAATAAACTTTACGGAAGTACAGTATAGTATATTGAAGGAAACAGTATAAGTACTAGATTTATAAATTGAATTATTTCATATCATAATTGATATTGTATTATTTCTCACATTAATCTATATGAATTATTAATTATTAATTATTTTTCACATTAATCTATATGAATATTATTAATTATATTTGTATTCTATAAATATTATTTTGAACTTAATTAATTAATATGAGTACAAATTAAACAGTATAATAGGCGATCATTTTAGCAGTAAGATATGTAACTGTGTATGTAACTGCAAGAGTTATTCAGTTATTTTTCAGGCGTAGACATCTACAAACTCCCAAACCCTTTGATAGATTTAGACCAAATTTCGCAAACTTACTCTGGTATTCTAGGAGAAACACGGACTAATAAAACTCAAATCTCTCTCTCCTTTTTTCTGATCTAATTTCCCGCGATATTGCCAAACTCTTTGACTGATTTACACCATAGTTACTCTCTATCACCCGGCAGGAAATATACTGTAACGTATAATGTGAATAACTCAAGCCTTTTCCTGAATTCCTGTTCAACATTTTTCGCTAGTTTGTTCATAAAACAATACAAAGATATTACGAAAATATACGCCGAATTTATTTTATGCATTTTTAAAGAGATAAATAAGCATATTATTAAATTATTCTTCTATGTTTAATACTTCTCTTATACTCAATAAAATATAATTTGTTCAAGCGACAATCATTTAAACAAACTTCCGATCTGTGCGGAACTCGTGTGAGTTTAATTCAAATTTGTCTCGAAAAATGAGTTTGATTGATGATCAGCATTACTCAGCTGTTGTTAGGAAAAGTATCATGTACTGGGGCTAGACATTACTAACATATGACAAGCTTAAGAGCCGGAGATCCCGATTATATACGAACTTTCGATCTAGACCGGAAGTCGTGTGATATTTTTAAATGAAAATATGCTTAAAACGTGCTATTTGGCATTGTGACGATGTCAAAATAAATAATTGATCGTCTTAAACTATAATTCTGTACTACATTTGAAAATTTAAAATGACCTAAATGGTTATATAGATTAATAAATGTGAGAGTCGGACCGAATAAAATAAAATTCAATAAAGGAGCTCCAATTAAATTAAATATCTTTATTAAAGTTAAACAAAGAAAACTTCATTTTTCGAAATTTTACGAAAAAGGATATATACATTTCCTTCCCACGGAGCCGTTTCCTATCTCTCGGGAAACCGAAAAATGATTCACGAGGAACTTATCCTAAAAATCGGCGATTGGTGAAACCCAGTAACGTGACGAAAGGGATAAAAGAGGGGTGATGACGAGAAAAGGAGGTCCGTCGTCGCTGTCCGTGAACACGGTCCATCATCACCGTTCATGATCGGGGAAACCCCGTGCCGATCCTCATCGCCGCCGTCCGTTCCTCAAGACAACTTGTCCGATCCGGTTAGAAAACGTCCGACCGTCCGATCCGAAATCGTAGAGGTATGATACCCATTAATGTACACTCTCTCTCGGCGCGTTTCCCTCCACTCCCGCGTGTCCGCTCGAGATAAGCTCAATGTATTTATGTTAGTTATGTTACCGTCTCAATAAATGTTGTTTTGTTGTTAAAAGTCGTCTTTATTTCGAGTATCGCTCACACTTTACCGACGACCCCTCTCACCTCCTCCACTCGACCTGACAAAAGAATCCCGACTTTACGGGATAGAAAAAGCATTTTCTAAGCCATCCACTGACCAGTGGGCAGTTCTCACCGAACTGTTGCCTATCAAAAAGAGGTACGACCTCGTCCTACCTCAGGCTACCCACAC